GCGTCAGGGGGTAATGATCAAAATAAGAAAAGACAAAAATAAGAAATTAGAGGTAATCATAAAATTGAACTAAAGAAAGATTATTAGGGTGGCCAGTAGAGTAAGAGATGAAAAAAAAAAAAGAAACAAAAAGCTTAAGTCATTAATGCATTATGGGGAAGCAAAACATCAATATTGGAATAGGGAAAGAAGATAGAAGTAGCGAAAAGATGGAGAAGGAAGATGCATTGAAACAAAAAAGAAAGAGAAGAAAAGCATGCAAGGACATGTGAGGATAAAAAAAGCTCTTCTCTTAAAGAGAAGGTAGAGATTCTCTCTCAAGGCGAAAGGCAACTATCGAGTATTTGCATCGTGCATACAAATATATGTATATATATATATATATATACAAATATATATATATATATATATAGATTAAAAAAATATAGAGAGAGAGAATGGAGAGGAAATATGCTGTGGAACCCACATTCACTTTAATATTGTACCCCATCTTTCCCTCCCTTTTATTTTCGCTTCGTCTCTTCTTTGTTTTTTTTTTTTTTACAGTGTTTTCCATTTTCTTTTAGGTAAGGCTGTAATTTTCAATTTATCTAGATGTACAAAATGACTCCCATTCTTCAAATTTTTTTCTATAAATATTTTCTACTCATCAAGAGCTACGTAACAGTAGCATTATCTTCAGGACTAGTGCAAGTTTTCTTATTAAGGTTTTCCTATAGGATAATTAATTTGAAGTTATGATGATTTAAAATGACTGTTGAGATTGTTGGAGGTGTAATAAATGCTATAGAATATTTCTTTAAGGTTGGAATTCAAATTTGTGAATTTTTTGGTTAAACCTTAGATCTATATGGTTGAGTTTATGTTAAATCTGAGATGTTGGAATGAACTTTTGATTATTAAATGTTTATTTGAGTATGAATAGATATTTCTAAGATTGTGGAATGGTGATTTGAGGATTGAGGATAATTTTTGAATTCTCAATTTATTTTTGGATGAATTTTTGAAATATGGATTGATGAAATTGTAATATTAGGAGTGATTTAAAAATTAAATATAATTTATTAAGGCATGAGAATTGTAGGAAGAAATTTTGGAACGTTAAATGAGGTACTAACCTTAAATTAGTGTTAATATAGATTTTAAGCCTAAAACTTTTTAACTCTTTAACTTAGAGTTATTTATTAATTTTAACGTGAAATTAATATATAGTATTATAAAATAATTGTGGAGATTGTATTGACAAAAACAGTGATGAAAGATGAGTTATGAAGGAAAACTTGTTGTCCAAGACACAAGGTAATCATTATTAATGTATTGTGATGGGTGTGTGTGTAATTGATTATTGAAAAATTATAATTTATTTAGAAATAAATACTTGTATATATTTGTTCAGAATTATTGCCATGTGGGTTAAAATTTGTATATGTGTATTATGATGAGATTATTGTTCGATTATATTCTTGTTCGGTTGTTTAAATTATACATGAATTGTCATGATATTTTAATATATGGTGTTGTTAGGGATTTCTATTTGGTTAATTATTATTATATGGTAAGCCCTCATTGGTCTCAATGAGTGGCATGTAGCTTAGTCCAACTCACCTTTGGCCAGGTGATTTAACATCCAAGCATGGCAAAAGGAAGATATAAGATATAATCATGTAATTAAATAATTATTTATTCAGTTTGTTTAGAAATATTTGTTTGGTTAAATATTTTGATGTGCCCACTTAGCAATCGCATGATTAGTTGCATCTGCATGTATCATTACATATTATTTTTTTGTTACTAGGACTTTTAAGTCTCATTCCTCATGGTTAACATTTTTATAGGAGCAAGTTCGATTAAGGAAGCACCAGAGGCATAAATTTTGGTGTATGGACACCACTTTCTTACTACCACTTATTTTGGTTTATGCAATGTATATTATGTCAACTTAGGACATATATCATTTTATAGGGTACATGGTCTCTAATATACAATTTGACACATTTACATAGTCAAGGGGATTCTGTCTGTCCCTCTTGATTTATGATTTGATTTGAAGGTTATGTTATGAGAAATTTGTATGTCCCTTATGGCCTTAGATGTAAAATATTATGCTTGACTATGAGAATCATGTCTGTCCCTCATGATCCCAGTTACTTCTTTTAGGGTATTATTGATATAACTAAATTCACTTTTAGGTATTCATTAGCTGGTAAATGTGTATTTATGTTGTGCACAAGTACACATCCCCTAGCTATTTTTAATAGTGAACAAGTGTTAAACCATGGTGATTCTTGTGTGGATCCACTTTGGTATTACTAAATATACTATTGCTTAAAAGATATTACAAAAAAATTATAAAAATTATGCGGTAATGATTATAACGTACACTTAGGTCACATAATCATACCAAGAACTTATTTTTATTAATTGTCTAGGATCTTGCCACCCTAAACTAGGCTTTTACACTAAATTTTGATTTCAAAACTATTTTCCTTGATGTGAATAGTGTCACATTGTCTTCTATTAAGAAAAATTTTATTTTAACAGTATCTTAATTTCTATGATAGGCTATTTGTAAAATGATTTGTTTATATAAAAATTCTTTTCTATCATGGTAGAATTTTTTTAAAAAAATTTCACCATTTACTACCATGGTAGATCCTTTTTTACCATAATAAGAATTCAATAATTTAAAAATAATTTATTAAACTCATAATTTTGTGAACAATCAATTCGAAAAATTTAGAGTGTTACAATTATAAATGATGTAAGTGTTTGTAAAGTTAACATCAAGATTGATTTAGTTTTGTGTTTATATTAAAGTAGCAAACACCCACTGAAACTTGTGTTTTTATTGAAAATTATCAAGTGTAATATTGAGAAATAGACATAAGCCAAATAATTAGGCTGAATCAATATAAATATCTTGTGTCAAACTTCTTCTTCTCTAAATTTCTTTTGCATTAAAAGCTTTTTGTGTCGAACTTTGTTTTAATTCAAACTCTATTTTCAATTGGCAAAAGTTTTGAGACAATTTTATAAAAAACTCAATTAATCCCTCTCTTGAGTAACCAGCTTATCTAACATCATCTAGAAAGTGGAAAGAGAAATCAGGCGTATTCACTAAATTACAGTGGCTGGATCATGGAAGATAGATATAACTCCCCCCATCTAAAGTGGAATAACCTCTAGCAAAGGGTTACATAAAGTGGACAATTATGGGGGCACTCTTTAAATTGTAGCCTTCGAGTCATGGAAGAGGAATGTTGGAGCAAGGATGGTTATCGTATTCATGGTAATTATTAAGATGATGAAATATTTTTAAAAATCTTTTTTTAGCAGCTGTGTTACTTTGAATACTAATATATGTATATATATTCAAAACTAGTTTCAGTATGGTATTTTAAGTATACACTTTTTTATCAAAATATATTATATTATGATATGCCTATTTACACTACAATTTCAGGCGGGAGCTATGGCTCACTTTTTGTGCATGAAGTTAAAACTAATTTGATCTAGGTATATAATCCTCTAGTTGGACATCTATGTATATTATTTCTAACCAATTATTTTTAGTGTATTTTAGTTGAGACACTGGAATTCTGATATTGTCTGGTCAATGGGTTGTGTTATTGTCTATCATGTGCCTAAACAAATGTATTGTGGGCTTTGTTTAGTGAGCGTTCATCGCAGAGGTACCCCTGCAGCCATGCTCTATAGTAGACTATTTTATTGTTAAAATTATCTTTATTATTACCACACACACAAATTATCTTTATCATTATAAGATTACAACATACCCTCATTGCTAATGTAAGAAAATTATATTAATCTTTTGCATGAATCATTCATGTGGGCCTAAGGATTCCATTGGATTCCATAAATTTGTTTGAAGGGTCCAATATTTCAAATCAGTATAAACGACAAATGAAAACAAGAAAAATGAAAGAAAGCGACCATTTTGAATATTTTTGGATAAAAGTAGTTGATTGTTTTTTAATTTATTATGATTGATAGATATACTCGATCAAACGGATAAGCTTCCCCTCACCTCGTTAAGTGGAAAGCTTCAATTATTACAATTAATTTATTATTAATTTAGATTTAGATTAGATAACAATCTTATGAACCAAAACTTATAAGACCAAAACACTCACCAAAGTTGTTAAATTAGTAAATTTAAATAAACTCATAATCATAATAAAAACATAAACTCAAAAGTGTAAATTTAAATTATTATATCTATTAATAAATAACCTTTAAAAATAAATAATTACATAATACAAATACAAAATATAATTATATTAAATTTAAATATATTTTAAACATAAATCATTAAAATTAAATTTATCCACATTTATAAATAATTATATTCAATATTAAAAATTTTAAAATAAAATAACCTATTTTTTATTAAAATTAATTTTTTATCCATTTTTAAAAATCAAATCCTACACCATATATACATATCTTATTCAATAAATTTTTAAATAAATTGATATAATTTTATAGATTAAAAACATAAAAGCAATATACTTGAAAAGTCAACTGAAAAGTTTAACCAAACTTATCTAATTAAATTTATAAATGATTTGATATAATTTTATAAATTAAAAATAAACACACGTAAGCCCGTAAATTCCAGATGAGAGTTAGACTTGAGAGTTAGAGCAATGACATTCACCAATCAACTTCAGACGATGCCATCCATATTCCATCCATATCCGTTGAATCTGTAAAATACCTAATATTTCATAGAACATTATATATATATATATATATATATATATTTTGGATATTTCAGGTGCATGCATTATTTTGAATTTACGATGGCAAAAAATTTAACAACTTCCAAAGATTTACTTAGACCTCCATCACAATTCATCATTACTAAAATTAATTACTTTTGATGTATCACCAATCTTCTTACCACGAAGACAAGATCCAAACCTACCAAATTTCTTTCTTAATTAGTTAATTTTATCCCAGCACAAAACTAAAAATAGTAAACAAAAACCGATTTCTTTTGATAATTAGATATTTCTATATTGTCTTCTGACCAACAAAAGCAAACCCCACCATTCAGCCCACCCAGAATTAAAAAAAAAAAAAACACCAAACAAACTAGAGACAACAAAAACGTACTCTCCGAGTCTCAACTAAACATTACATTCACGTCACTTACGAATAAAGACAACCATATATGCTCAATCGTCATCAGCTAACAGACCAATCCGGTTAGAGCACGTAGCTGTATAGTGACACATGGCATATACTCAATATCAAAGGATGCTATTTACATACAACCCACAGTGATGGTAACACGCCATCTCCTCAGCGGTGCTTGCTTCTGGTTTCACCGCTGTAGAGCCTGCGATCGCATACAACCCAAATCATTTTAGTCAATCAAGATCTGATCTACAACCGTTGAACAGATTCATAGACAGATCCACAACCGGCAGATTATGTATCGATGTTTAACAGTCAGTTAACCAAATTATATCGTCAGATCCAACGGTTTTATATCAATAGAAACCTATACTTAGATTCAATTACTGACTCCCACGCGCAAATCTTTGGAACGCGTATCAAAATCAGTATGTTCTTCAACATTCAAATTTCCTTTGGTTCTGCCCCAAAAACAATTATTTCATTATCCATTTCTTTTCTTATTCTTCATTTTATTTTAGGTTCTGGCTATATTTTCACAAACTTTACCCATAAATTTTGGATTGCAAGTTCTCCACTGTTCAAACAAGCATAAGCACAAACAGATCAGGCTTAAAGTGAAATTTTTATTTTCATTTTAATATTTTTTAAATTTTAAAAGGAAAAAATAAAACAATTTCTTAACTAATTTCATAAAAATAAAAAACCCAAACTAAAAATAAAAAAATAAATCAAGACAACGTTCAGCAATAAAACCAGACATTATAAAATGTGCACAATACACGTCTGCAACCAAGCAAACCAGACCAAACCACCGATAATAAATCAGAGTATACAGATATGGTTTTCATTAATCATCCACATAGCGTGAGATCACGCGCCATATTAGGTATTCATGCAAAGAGCCTGGATGTCTGGTATGCTTGTGGAAATTTTTGGCAAATGATTTATGGTTGATGATATAAATAAATTAAAATTCAAATATTCGATTTGCATCGTCTTTAAGAAAAACTCACAAACACTGAGTCCCCAAAAAACAAAAACAAAAAGCCTAGACTGAGGATATCAAATATTAACTCTGTTTATTTTTTTTTTTACCTCTCTTTTTTCTTTCTAAAGAAAAATCCGATCAATTTCCTCGTGTGGTCACGCGTCACCACGCGCTGGGAACTAAATTCGCATGCACAGTGTCTGATACGATCATGGAATGCTTAAAGAAGAACGGAAAAAGAAGAACAAAGCAATCTTACCAGTCATAGACAGTGGGAGAGTTAGGCAGAGGTTTGTCAAACTTCTGAGCACCGATCGTCTTGGTGGCCAAATTACTCCCAGGATTGAACACGCTCCTCCAGACGTTGTCCACCTTACGCGCCGACAGTGGCGTCGTCGGAGTCGTCGGTGTGGTTGGCGTCGCCGGCATCGACAACGACCTTTGAGTCTTGCTTCCTTCTCCTTCCTCTAAACGATCATATCAAATTATCATCGTTCAGTTTCAGAAATTTGCAGCAGCCTAAAAAAAAAACACACAAAAAAACAGAACAAAAACGAAAAGCTTTTATTAACCTTTGACGGTTAAGGGCTGAGTGGCGATGACCTTCCTGAGCCTGCCTAGGCCTTGATCTGGCTGAGGCCCTGCAACGACGTCGTCCCACAGCTTCTCTAGCAGAACCATCTTCAGATAGCTTCCCTCTATCTCACTACTGCCTGGGAAGGGAGATTCAGTGTGCTTGTTTATATAGAAAAAGTGAGGAATCCATGGGGTTGCATAAAATATCTCTAATTTTAATTTAACTTTATTTAATTTTTCTTTTTTCTTTTTCCACCGGAGATCAGAGTGGGGATCAAGTATTCTGCTATTTCCAGGTGTGACTTTACTTTGGTTAAGCTGTGGTTAAAATGTCAATTTATCACAATTCTCTGTTTTATATTGAATATTGAACATTGATGGTCAAAAAATATTAATTAATTAAATATTAATATTGATATTGATGCGTTGGTAAAAAAAAAAAATCTATTGATATTGATACATCTCTATTCATGATTGTTGGTGAATGGAAATGGAACATTTATATTCGAAGAAAAATTCATTTTTTCCCAATCATACAAAATTAAAATAAATGAATTATTAGGCAGGGCTTGAGTTTGAATTTTAATTTTAAATATAAAAAAACTAATTTGAAAAAGTTTTGTTTGGATAAAAACTTTAAATAATTTAATTTATATATTGTTGTGGAGGGATGGAGGGAAAAGAAAACTTATTCCTTCTGTTTAAAAATATAAAATATTTTTAATTGAATCTCACTCTTTAATAATATAATTACCTACATTTCAACTAACCTTATCTTTTTATATTTATCTCTATTAAATATCTTATAATAAATATAAAATTATTATCAATAGGAGCATTTTTTTAAAAAAGCAATGATTACACCTTAAAAAATTTAAAATGTCTTATATTTTTAAACATCCAACTCCTCAAAAAATGCCTTATATTTTTATCAGAGGGAGTATTAAAAAAGTTATAGAGTGAAAACATTTAGGTAAACAATGTTTTAATGTAAATATGATTTATGTAGCCGATATTACTTAGAATATGTTTACATTAGTGCTTGCAAAATTTCAGTTTTTTGTAAACTAAAATTCAATTACTATAATATGATTTATGTTTTTCAAACAAGTTACTTTACCTTTTGAATTTAACTCACCGCAACAAAAGAAGCCAATGAAAGCTTCTGAATGAACCTAGGCTGAAGAGGCAAGGGTTGGCGTGGATGATGCCGAGGTTGTTAAATTTATGAGTTTCAATAAACTCATAATAAAAATATATATTTAAAATATAAATTTGAATTATAAATTCATAAAAATTTATTTTTATTAATAAATTATTTTTAAAAGTATATAATTAAATAATTAAAATATAAAATATAATCATAATTTAATTCAAATATATTTTAAATATAAATTATTGAAATTAAATCTATATATATTTATAGATTATTATACTCAATATAAAAATTTTAAAATATGACAATTTATTTTTGATATTTTTTATTTTTTATTAATATTAATTTTTAGCTTTTTAGTTTTATTTTTTATTAAACCGAATCCCTCCACTTCTATGAATTTAGTTTTACATAGTAAATACATATCTTGCTTAACGATATTATGAGCAAATTGACACAGTTTTATAAGTTAGAAATATAAAAATAATAAACTCGCAGAGTCAACTTGCAAGTTTAATTGAGTTTATCTTGATATAAGTTTATGAGCTAGCTAACACGATTTTGTAAAGTAGAAATATAAAATGATAAATTCATAGAGTGAATTCAAGAGTTTGACAACAATAAATGATGCTAATGCTCATTACCTTTTAAATAGCACCATGAATTTAAATTTAAAATTTTACATTTATATGTTTTAAATTTTTTATTCAGTTATTTTAAATAATAAAAGTTATTACTATTAAATTGTATTTTGATGTTATATATATAAATTTGAAATAACAAAAATTTATAAAGGATTTCAAAAATAAAAATTTGAATAAAAGCCAAATCCATAAATTTTTAAATACCTAAATAGTGGATATGGCACAAATTCAAATTTAAATAAATATGTATCTAACATAATATTAATGTATTTTACTTTAATAAAATTAGAGCTAGTGAATTTCAATTATGAGAAACTATAAGAACATAAATAATAAAAGGTAGTGGGTGAAATGGATGAAAAATATTACGTGTTGTTGAAAAAAAGCCTAATTAATCCTATAAGTTTTTGTTTTCTTTTTTTAATTACCAAAATATTCTTTATCTGATCTCTATTTAGCATGATAATATTTAAATTTTAATTTAATAGTACAGGATATTAGAATCAGAACTCCGAAGTATACAAAAATTTGTTTTTAAATTTGATCAGGTGATTTTTTTTTTTGTGCTTAGAACATCTGATATTTTAGGGCTAGTCATCTTTCACGTATATTATCAGTCCCAAATTTATCCATATGTCAAAAGGTAAAGTGATTGATCACGGATATATATATATATATACACACACACACACAGAATTTTTTTTAGAGCACATGAGGCAACTGAGGCTTGACAATTCTAATTCTAAATTGATTAAATAAAAGTACGTAATTTGCTCAATTAAAAAATCACTTACAGGTAATAAAAAAAAATGACATTAGTGAGGAGCAGTAGAAATATGAGGGAGACTATTAAGGAGTGGAATCGTTGGGAAGTGGATAAGGATGAAGACTCATAGGACAGAGCAACCGTGGGGCCCGCATGATAATATCTACTTCGACTATAGATAAAGATATAAATTTAATTGAATACTAAATATTAAATAAAGGAGCAGGCCGGGGTTTTGTTTTACACGTATACCCATGAAAGCGCACAATTATTTGCCTCTTTGTCCTTTCCTTTTGAGCGACGTGGGAATGGGGCCCACAGCTATCAGCCGTGGGACCTACTCCTACTAATTTTGATTATTACCTCTGCTCTCATGCTTACCGTTCCGTTCTTAATTCAATTTAATTTTAAGATAATCGGTTATACGGAAATATGGATTGTGATTCATCCGAGATGAAAGCAAGAGTGAGTCAAAAAAAAAAAAATAATAATAATAGAAGTGTCATTTACTATTGCTGTTTTTTTTTGCCCCTCATAATTTCTATTTACTATTTGGAAGAATTATAATCAGATGACAAATCAATTAATTAAAATTATTATCACTTAAATAAATAATTGAGAGTTTGAATATTAACCATCATATATGTAACAATTTGAACATAAGATAAACATTCAAATTCCAACCCTCATTTATATGTAACAATTGAGTTTTATTGATAAGATAAACTTTTTTATTAGTGGAGTCTACTCATTACAAGAAATTCAACTAAATCTTAAATAAAAAAAATTATTTTTTGGATTTATATGTTAAAATATTTTAAAATTATTGGAATTTATAAATAATTAATTTTTTCATACGAGACTTACATGCAATTATTCATCATCATCCATTGCCCATGTTCATTGAATCAATATTTAGATCAAGACTATGCTGATATGCTGATAGAGACTAATTTGAATTTTTATATTTTGGAAAATAAGTATAGTTTTATTATATAAATTTCACAATCAATGCCAACAATTTTTTATCCAGGAATCTAAATGTATTTTTTTATTTTATTCTATTTATATCCTCGGTTAACAATTAAGAAATAATTAATATAATGATGTTGGAATTCACCATAACTACTAAGGATAATAATGAAGAATATTGGAATTTTTGAAAAATTTAAATGATAATTAATATTAATAATTTTCTTAATTTATGTGCGTAGTTAAATTATGAAGAAAAGTTTATGACTGACGTGTTATTTTGTAATCACATGTATTTTTTTTTATTTACCTTGAGATACATGGAATGTTTTTTTTTTAGCAGCAGCGATGAAATGTTGAAGCATAAAATTTGAAATAAATATAGAATTATATTTTTTACCCTGTGCAAGGGAATATTAACTATCAAATTAAATAAACTAGGATGAAGAAGAAAGATTTTAATCAATTGAATTTCTAAAAAAAATGATAAATGAGATTGAAAATTTTTAGTATGAGGAAATTGTAAAGGAAATGTAAGTGAAATTAATTATTTTTTTGCCATGAAATTAATTAAAAAGTTTAAATCACACTACTCTAATTTTTTCAAAAATCAAGTTTATTAAAATTTCTCATTCTCTCGTTCCCCTTAGAGTCTCAATTTAGATAGAGTTTAAAATATATAAACATGTAAAAAATTTATAGTTAAGCCCAACTTTGACCTAATTTTTGAGTTTATTCAAGTTTCTCTTGCTACCCCAAAGAGACCAAAATTATTTTATTTTATGTTTCTCTTTGTTGAGTGCATTAACTACTTGTTTGAATATTATTTTGACCAATTTATGTATTTAATTTAAAAAAAATGCACAATAAATACATTTAAATACTAAAATTTTAATTTTGTAAATCATTTGAATGATTTTTAAATAATATTTATATTTAAAGAGGAGTATTTTGATTTAACATGTATAACTTAATGGTCAATTGATGGCTATATGGATGAAAATAAAGTATTTAAAAAATAAAAAAGAAATACCATTAATTAAGATAAAATAAAAGGGATGTCAAAATATTTTAGTATTATTTTTTAATTATAAATTTTATATTATAAATTTATTTTTTGTAGGTTACACACATGCCTCATTTATTGTTAGGCCCACATTATTCTGTACTTTTTTTTTACTATATCATATTAAAAATATTAAAAGACAATTATTTTTTAAAAGGAAAAGTCATATAGTGTTCATCCGACCATAATTACAATATGTTATAGATAGATTATAGATATATGAAATGCATTTCAATATGCATTACAGTTGGCTTATTATTATTATTATTATTTTGTCATCAATACATTTGCCTAATTAAGATCCGAATGAAGAAAAGGGGCCCGAATGATATGTATGCCAGCTGATCCTTGCCCATGGTTTGTTTGCACTTCGCACCCACAGGCTTTATCCTTGGGCCCACCGAAGAGTCTCGAAATATTTGCCCTTTAATAATGATAAATTATTACCTAAATTAATATTTACTTGTTACTTTAGAGTGTAAAGTAATAATTTGGGTTTAAAAGGATTAACCTTTTTGGACTGATCCTTTTAAGTTTTTTTATAATTTTTTT